GAGCGAAACTCCGTCTCAAAAAAAAAAAAAAAAAAAAAAAAAAAAAAAAAAAATATATATATATATATATATATATATATATATATATTTAAAAAAGAAAAAAAAAAAAAAAAAAGGCAGGAAAGCCTACGGACCCACTTCTGACAGATGGAAGTAGATACCATGGGAAAAACTAGTCAACATCTTGGCTACTGGTAACATACTAACACTTAAATGTCTTTAGAATAACAGTTTCTTTAGCAATTATGATACAAAAAAGTGACCTGGGATGATATATGATACATATTCTCACATACTGTTGATAAGATTGTAAATTAATACAGCTAATTACATCAAAGGCCTTAAAGATGCTCAAATAGAGCTTATAATTTTACTGTAATATATCCTAAGAAAATAAAGCTGAAAGACTAGGTGCAGTGGCTCACCCCTGTAATCCCAGTACTTTGGGAGGCCAAGGTGGGCGGATCACTTGAGGTCAGGAGTTAGAGACCAGCCTGGCCAACATGGTGAAACCCCATCTTTATATTAAAAAAAAAAAAAAAAAAAAAAAAAAAGGCTGGGTGTGGTGGTTCACACCTGTAATCTCAGCACTTTGGGAGACCTGGCCGGGCGTGGTGGATCAAGCCTGTAATCCCAGCACTTTGGGAGGCCGAGGCGGGTGGATCACAAGGTCGAGAGATCGAGACCATCCTGGTCAACATGGTGAAACCCCATCTCTACTAAAGATACAAAAAATTAGCTGGGCATGGTGGCACGTGCCTGTAAAATCGCAGCTACTCGGGAGGCTGAGGCAGGAGAATTGCCTGAACCCAGGAGGCGGAGGTTGCAGTCAGCTGAGATCGTGCCACTGCACTCCAGCCTGGGTAACAAGAGTGAAACTCCGTCTCAAAAAAAAAAAAAAAGAGATTAAGACCATCCCTGAGCAACACGGTGAAACTCCGTCTCTACTAAAGCTACAAAAATTAGCTGGGTGTGGTGGCGTGTGCCTGTAGTCCCAGCTACTCAGGAGGCTGAGGCAGGAGAATTGTTTGAACCTGGGAGGCAGAGGTTGCAGTGAGCTGCGATCGCGCCACTGCACTCCAGCCTGGCACCTGGCAACAAAGTGAGACTCTGTCTCAAACAAACAAACAAAAAAAAAATAAAGCTGAATGTACTAATATGTTCAGTGTAATTTTTTTGTAAGTGTAAATTATTAGACAAACTCTAAATGTCCCCTAATAGAAGAATGGCTAAATATAACAGCAAAAGAACACCTATGTACCCATCTTCTAGGTCAGGCATCCCCAAATTTTTACACAGGGGGCCAGTTCACTGTCCCTCAGACCGTTGGAGGGCCGCCACATACTGTGCTCCTCTCATTGACCACCAGTGAAAGAGGTGCCCCTTCCTGAAGTGCGGTGGGGGGGGGGGGGGGCGGATAAATGGCCTCAGGGGGCCGCATGCAGCCCGTAGGCCGTAGTTTGGGGACACCTGTTCTAGGTTCATTATTTTACCACCTATAAATGCACCCATAACTCACTTCACCACAGTATTACTAAATAATATACCCTTTTTTTTTTTTAAAGAGATAGGGTCTCACTGTGTTGCCCAGGTTGGTCTAGAACAATCCACCTGCCTTGGCCTCCCAAAGTGTCTTTATATACACTAAAATGCATACATTTGAACTGTACAATTTTGACAAATGCATGTGCCAAACCCATTGAAGCCGGGGACAATGAACTCCTAAATTCTGCTGAGTCTTTGTTGCCAGCAGAAGCGGCCCTTCGACCCCCATCTGAGAAGGTTAACCCTGTTTTGTCTGAAAACCTATAGGTATGTCCCCTGAGGTAGCTGCCTTGGTTCTTCTAGAACTGTGACTACACTCAAGTCCCAGCAGGCTCCAAGTTAAGTAGAAACTGTGACCCATGAGGAGGTCCACTCCATTCCAAAAAGAACTGTATGATGTTTCCAATTTCCAATGGACAAAAATCTGGGAATATGGGTAGGAATGAATATTTGTGGTGGGGGATAATGGTAGAAGGAACAGAGTTGCACTGGTTAACTTTATGATATGGGTCCACTAATCAGAGATTCTGGATTCAATGTTGTAACTGAAGGGGTCAGAAAAGTTCTAACAGTTTGGCTGGCTGGCTGAAACACAAACCAAAAGGTAAACCACAATATATAAACACAATTGTCACAATTGCTTTGGTATGCTGGAGAAGGAATTCTGCCTCATGACTATAATATAAACCCTGCCTGAGTTTGGACTGAAGTCTGCCCTATAGATTGTGGACTCAAGCCTTGTGATTCAACACTTGCTTGAGTTTCCAGCTTACTGGCCTAGCCTTGTAAGATTGAGACCAGCTACCACAACTGCATGAGCCAATTCATTAAAATCTATCCGTCCGCCCAGCCGCCCACACATACATGTCCTATTGGTTCTGTTTCTCTGGAGAATCCTAACTGATATAGATCCATATTCCTACCATTATACAGAACATTTCCACCTCCCCGAAAGCTTCCTCATGTTAGTTTCTTTGCTTCTTTTTTTGAGATGGAGTTTTGCTTTTTTGCCCAGGCTGGAGTAAAGTGGTGCGATCTCAGCTCACTGCAACCTCTGCCCCTGCTGGGTTCAAGCGATTCTCCTGCCTCAGTTTCCCGAATAGTTGGGATTATAGGTACCTGCCACTATGTGTGACTAATTTTTGTATTTTTAGTAGAGATGAGTTTTTGCCATGTTGGCCAGGCTGGTCTTCAACTCCTGATCTCAGGTGATCTGCCTGACTTAGCCTCCCAAAGTGCTAGGATTATAGACATGACTATGCCCAGCCCTCATGTCCATCTCTAATCAATATCCCTACTTTCCGAGGCAAATGCTATTGTGATTATTTTGACCTTAGTTTGCCTAAACTAAAACATCATGTAAATGGAATCATACAATATATACTCCTGAGTCTGGCTGCCTTCACTGAGCATGTCTATGCAGTACATCTGTGGTGTTGCTTCAATCAGTAACAAAAAACAGTCAATCAGTAATTAAAATGTTCTTTGTTATTACTGAGTGGTATTCCATCGTATGAACAGACCACAATTTGCATATTCATTCTCCTGTTGATGGACATTTTGGTTGTTATGCTATTGTGAATAAATGCTGTTATGCATGTCCTTGTATAACTCTTTTTATTGAGGAATGTTTTCATTTCTCTTAAATACCTAGAATTTGGCTGGGCATGGTGGCTCATGCCTGTAATTCCAGTGCTTTGGCAGGCCAAGGCAAGAAGATCGTTTGAGCCCAGGAGTTACAGACCAGCATGGGCAACACAGAGAAACCCTGTCTCTACAAAATAACAAAATATTAGCTAGGCATGGTGGCACGTGCCTCTTATCCCAGCTACTTGGGAGGTTGAGATGGAAGGACTGCTGTTTCCCGCAACCTCCGAAGTAGCTGGGAGGAAACTGCCACCATACTCAGCTAATTTTTATATTTTTGTATGGATGTAGTTTCACCATGTGGGCCAGGCTGGTCTTGAACTCCTGACCTCAAGTGATCCACCCACCTCGGCCTCCCAAAGTGCTGGGATTACAGCCATGAGCCACTGCACCTGGCCTTTCCGCAAAGTATTTCTATTCTTCCAACTGGATAATTTTTTTTTTTTTTTTTTTTTTTTTTTTGAGACGGAGTTTCGCTCTTGTTACCCAGGCTGGAGTGCAATGGCGCGATCTCAGCTCACCGCAACCTCCGCCTCCTGGGCTCAGGCAATTCTCCTGCCTCAGCCTCCTAAGTAGCTGGGATTACAGGCACGCACCACCATGCCCAGCTAACTTTTTGTATTTTTAGTAGAGACGGGGTTTCACCTTGTTGACCAGGATGGTCTCGATCTCTCGACCTCGTGATCCACCCGCCTCGGCCTCCCAAAGTGCTGGGATTACAGGCTTGAGCCACCGCGCCCGGCCCCAACTGGATAATTTATATTTATCTTCAAGTTTGCAAACTTCTGCTATATTCAATTTACAGTTAAATCCACCTAGTGAATTTCCCGTTTCAGTTAATGTACTTTTCAACTTTAAAATTTTCATTTAAAAACTAAAAAAAAAAAAAAAAAATTTATTGTAAAACAAAACACAGATACAGAAAGCCAAATAAATCAATCAAACATAAACCTTAAGAAATTATTTGGTGGCTCTATAAAAAATACAAAAATTTGCTAGCATGGTGGCATTGTCTGTAGTCCCAGCTATTTCGGTGAGGTGGAGGCAGCAGAATCACTTGAACTCAGCAGGCAAAGGTTACAGTGAGCCAAGATCACACCCCTGTACTCCAGCCTGGGTGACAGAGAGACCCTGTCTTAAAAAAAAAAAAAGTATTATAAGATGAATAGCAGTCAGATTGAAAAAAAAAAAAAACTTGGTAGACTATCCCAAGAAGACCCTTCTATATTTCCCAGAATAATGACAATCTTCCCAATAAGCAACCCTCATCCTACCTTTTTTATTTTGGAGACAGGGCCTTGCTCTGCTGCCTAGGCTAGAGTGCAGTGATCATAGTTCACTGTAACCTCAAACTTCAGGGGTCAAGTAATTTTCTCACCTCAGATCTAAGTAGCTGGGATTACAGGTGTGTGCCACCTTGGTTGGCCAATTTTTTTGTAGATATAGAGGTATTGCTGTGTTGCCCAGGCTGGCTTTGAACTCCTGGCCTCAAGTGATCCTCCTGCCTCAACCTCTCAAAACACTGTGATTACAGGTGTGAGCCACCATGCTAGCCATATCCTAACTTTTGTAGTCAGTTAATTGTGATTTTTTTATTCATGTGTACTGTTATTTACACATGAATTTAATTTTTTATTTTTTTTTAGACCCAGTCTCACTCTGTTGCCTAGGCTAGAGGACAACAGTACAGTCACAGCTCACTGCAGCCTCGAACTCCTGGGATCAGGTGATCTTCCCACTTCAGTCTCTCTAGTAACTGGGACTACAGGCCCATGCCACCATGCCTGGCTAATTTTTTTCTTTCATGATTATATATAAAATGCTTCACAAATTTGCATGTCATCCTTGTGCAGGGGCCATGTGAATCTTGTATTGTTCCAATTTTGGTACATGTGCTGCCGAAGGAAGCACTTTTAAAGTTTTTTTTGTAGAGATGGGGTTTTGCCATGTTGCCCAGGCTGGTCTGGATCTCCTGGGCTCAACTCATCTGCTCGCTTTGGCCTCCCAAAGTGCTGTGATTATAGGATGAGCCACCATGCCTGACTGAATTTATCATTTTTATTCAGATATAATTCATTTATCATAAAATTCCTTCAGACTGAGCTTCGCTCTATGACCCAGGCTGGAGTGCAGTGGTATGATCTCAGCTCACTGCAACCTCTGCCTCCTGAGTGCAAGTGATTCTTGTGCCTTAGCCTCCCAAGTAGCTGGGGTTACAGGCATGTACCACTATGCCTAGCTAATTTTTGTACTCTTAGTAGAAATGGGGTTTCACCACGTTGGCCAGGCTGGTCTCAAACACGCGACCTTAGGTGATCTGCCCACCTCAGTCTCCCAGTCTCCCAAAGTGTTGGGATTACAGGTGTAAGCCACCTCGCCTGGCCAATTCAGTGGTTTTAAGTGTATTCACGTTGTATAACCATTACCACTACTAATTCCAGAAAATTTTCATTACTATCCCTTCCCAAATTCTGTATCTGCTAGCAGCCACTCCCTATTCCTTTCATGTTTTTTTCAAATTAACTTTTTTTTTTTTTTTTTTTTTTTTTTACAGATGGAGTCTTGCTATGTTGCCCAGGCTGGAGTGTACTGGCTATTCAAAAGCTTGCTCCCACCGCTGATTGGTTTCGACCTGCTGTTTCTGACCTGAGCCAGTTCAACCCTCCTTAGGTAACCTGGTGGTTCCCTGCTCCTGAGCAGATATCATATTGATGATAGATTTGTTGCAGATACCTAATCAACACAGTAGACACAGCTTAGAACTCCTGGACTCAAGAGATCTTCCCGCCTCAGCTTCCTGAGTAGCTGAGACTATAGATGCATGCCACTACGCGTGGTCATTGTGGCTGTTTTTTCCTTTTTATTTTTAAAGGCAGGGTCTGGCTCTGTCACCCACGCTGGAGTGCAATGGTACAATCTCAGCTCACTGCAACCTTTGTCTCTTGGGCTCAAGCAATCCTCCCACTTCAGCCTCCTGAGAAGTTGGGACTACAGGCATGTGCCACCAACGCCTGGCTAATTTTTTTGTATTTTTTTGTAGAGTCCAAGTTTCACTATGTTGCCCATGTTGGTCTTGAACTCCTGCACTCAAGCGATCCTCCTGCCTCACCTCCCAAAGTGTTGGGACTGAAGGTGTGAGCCAGCTTGCCTGGCTGTCTTTGTGTTTTTAAACATATTTTTATCGGCGGGGCATGGTGGCTCATGCCTGTAATCCCAGTACTTTGGGAGGCTGAAGCAGGCGGATCACCTGAGGTTGGGAGTTTGAGACCAGCCTGACCAACATGGAGAAACCCCATCTCTACCAAAAATACAAAAGTAGCCAGGCGTGGTGGCGCATGCCTGTAATCCCAGCTACTCGAGAGGCTGAAGCAAGATAATCATTTGAACCCGGGAGGCGGAGGTTGCAGTGAGCCAGGATAGCACCACTGCACTCCAACCTGGGCAACAAGAGTGAAACTGTCTCAAAAAAAAAAAAAAAAAAAAAAAACTCTATCTACATATATGTATCACCCAAATATTCACCCAAAGATAATTTTCTGTGCTCATTTGTAATAGATTTGATGTAACTAAACTCTTTCAGTTAATAGGCTCCTCCTCCACCTCTTTTCATTTCCTTATAATTTAAGAATCCAGGCTGCTTGATATACAGTTTATCAGTCTAGATTTTGCTAATTGTGCAGTTACAGACTGAATGTTTGTGAATTATGAGGTACCTATTTTGAGGTAACAAATATTATCTAGTGTTTGGTTTTGTCAGCTAGTTGCTGTATGTTTATTTGACAATTTGGAAAGTTAAAAAAACTATCCTGCTGCTGCCATCTTCCCATAATCCCCCGTTCTTTTTAGTTTCTATTTCTCATTGAGATTCTCCATCTGTTCGCTCATTATGTCTATATCTTTCTTTAACATATCTATAACGGCTACTTTAAAGTCCTTCTGCTAATTGGAACATTAGGATCATTTCTTTTTTTTTTTTTTTCTTTTTTTTTTTGAGATGGAGTCTTGCTCTGTTGCCCAAGATGGAGTGCAATGGTAAATCTTGGCTCACTGCAACCTCCCTGCCCGACTGCCGAGTTCAAGCAATCTTCCTGCCTCAGCTGCTCGAATAGCTGCGATTCAAGTCGCCTGCCACCACGCCCAGCTAATTTTTGTATTTTTAGTAGAGACAGGATTTCACTATGTTGGCCAGGCTGGTCTTAAACTCCTGACCTCAGATGATCCGCCTGCCTCCCAAAGTGTTGGAATTACAGGCTTGAGCCACTGCTTCTGGCCAGGATTATTTCATGATCAGATTTTCTTGATTACAGGTCACAATTACCTGTTTCTTCTGATGTCCAGTAATTTTGTTAACTTGGATAGATTCAAACTACAAACTCTGTTCTCACTGGGAAGCAACTATAATCTCTGCTAAGTTTATTCAGCTTTTAGCTGCTGGTATCCTGCTGAGCCTCATGAGGCCTCCTCACAACACACAGTTTAGTGATCAGCCAAGGATTTTTGAATATTCTGTAAGCAGATTTTGGGGCTCAAAGTTTCTGCGACCCCTTCTCGTCAAGGGTTTTCCTTCATCTTTCTGGCTATTCTGCCAGCACCTAAATCTATTCTCTGATGTCTTAAATCAATAAGGCTGTGGCTTGCTGCTGCTCAAGCTACGTGCGTTGGGCAGTGTCCTCAGGCAAAAAGCCCTAACAACCAAATTTAGCCATTAAAGTTTTTTTTTTTTTTTTTTTTTTGAGACTGAGTCTTGCTCTGTTGCCCAAGCTGGAGTGCAGTGGCACAATCTTGGCTCACTGCAACCTCTGCCTCCTGGGTTCAAGCGATTCTCCTGTCTCAGCATCCTGAGTAGCTGGGATTTCAGGTGTGCGCCACCACACTTGGCTAATTTTTGTATTTTTAGTAGTGACGGGGTTTCACCATTTTGGTCAGGGTTTTTTTTTTTTTTTTTTTTGAGATAGCGTCTCACTCTGTCACCCAGGCTGGAGTATAGTGGTCCAATCTTGGCTCACTGCAACCTCCACCCCCTGGGTTCAAGCAATTCTCCTGCCTCAGCCTCTGGAGTACTATGGCCAGCTAATTTTTGTATTTTTAGTAGAGATGGGGTATCACCATTTTGGCCAGGCCGGTTTCAAACTCCTGACCTCAGGTGATCTGTTCACCTTGGCCTCCCAAAGTGTTGGGATTTCAGGTGTGAGCCACTGTACCCAGCCCATTATAGTTTTTTTAATAATGGACTTGTACAGTTTCTGCCTATTTTTGAAAGCTCTGTGGTGCCTTTTATTTTTTTCATTTCAGATGGGTAATGTGCTGACTTTACAAGAAGGTTTGAGGGTAGCACATTTCATACCTGTACATGAACACCCACTCATCACACACATGAACTACAAAGGGATCTCTGGTGCTTTCAAATAGTTATTTTTAATATTTTGTCCAGATTTTATAATTATCTATGGAGGATTAATCCAACCAAGCTATTCTACCATAACTTAAATAATTTATTTTTTAAAAAATGTCTGTGAGCCGGGCGCGGTGGCTCAAGCTTGTAATCCCAGCACTTTGGGAGGCCGAGGCGGGTGGATCACGAGGTCAAGAGATCGAGACCATCCTGGTCAACATGGTGAAACCCCGTCTCTACTAAAAATACAAAAAATTAGCTGGGCATGGCGGCGCGTGCCTGTAATCCCAGCTACTCAGGAGGCTGAGGCAGGAGAATTGCCTGAACCCAGGAGGTGGAGGTTGCGGTGAGCCGAGATCGCGCCATTGCACTCCAGCCTGGGTAACAAGAGCGAAACTCCGTCTCAAAAAAAAAAAAAAAAAAAAAAAAAGATTAAAAAAAAAAAAAATGTCTGTGAGTCAGGCATGGTGGCAACATGCCTATACTGTAGTATCAGCTACTTAGGAGGCTGAGAAGAGAGGACCACTTCAGAACAGGAGTTCTAGGCTCCAGTGAGCTATGATTGGGCCTCTGAATAGCTACTGCACTCCAGCCTCGATGACACAGCGAGACCCCATCTCCTACAGTAAAATCTTTGTGTGTTAGTGACCTAGGTGTTTCTAGGTGCCTCATCCTGTGATATGATGGACAAAACAGTCTTAGAAAATAATTAGGAGCTTTGCAACCTAACGTGACCAAGAATGGACCTATAGGATTTCTTTAGTCATTCATTCCAAATATAGCTGTATTCCAGCTCATAAGAAGCAGTGGGATATGTTACTCTGTAGAAGCCCTACCTGCCATTGACTGGCCAGGTACGTGTGATGTCACTCACATAGCAGGAAGACTCACAACCTCCATCCAGAAGTACCATTTCCCCATCCTGGAACAAAGTAATTAAGACTATGTTAGAGTGGGTTAGCTCATAAGTTGTTAAGCCTTTCTTTCTTTCTTTTTTTTTTTTAGATGGAGTTTCACTCTTGTTGCCCAGACTGGAGTGCAATGGCAGGATCTTGGCTCACTGCAACCTCCACCTCCTGGGTTCAGGCAATCATCCTGCCTCAGCCTCCCGAGTAGCTGGGATTACAGGCATGTGCCACCATGCCTGGCTAATTTTGTATTTTTTTTTTTTTTTTTTTTTTTTAGACGGAGTTTCGCCCTTGTTACCCAGGCTGGAGTGCAATGGCGCGATCTCGGCTCACCGCAACCTCCACCTCCTGGGTTCAGGCAATTCTCCTGCCTCAGCCTCCTGAGTAGCTGGGATTACAGGCACGTGCCGCCATGCCCAGCTAATTTTTTTGCACTTTTTAGTAGAGACGGGGTTTCACCATGTTGACCAGGATGGTCTCGATCTCTCGACCTCGTGATCCACCCGCCTCAGCCTCCCAAAGTGCTGGGATTACAGGCTTGAGCCACCGCGCCTGGCTTTTTTTTTTTTTTTTTTTAAAGATGGGGTTTCGCCGGGCGCAATGGCTCAAGC